CCCCCCCCCCCCAGTGCATTAAAACTTTACTGGAAAAATATTGGGTCAAAGCTCCCACCCAGACCCCACATCATGTATTCCAAATCTAGCCATCCACAGATTAATCCCTTCTCCCAAAATCTCAGGCATACCTCCACATGAGCAAAAATGTTGAGGTCAGACTGAGAAAACTTGTTTGGGGAGAAATAAGAGACAATGCTGTCTGGGCAGAGCTTCCATGTTAGATAAATGAAGAATAACTTGGTTGAATTGGAGAAGTAGTGAGTACAATCATTTATTGTCTCTCTACTTGGCCACTCTTCTTGACTTGCAATTTGGGCCATTAGATCACCATTAAGGGGTTTAAAGAACTCCCAATTTTTATTTAGCTCAGCCTAACTCAGGAGATGGTCTTAAGATTGCATCTCTTGGCAGCCACATTGTGGTGGTGTGAGCCTGGACTTTGCATGTAACTTTCCTCATCAACAATGGGACAATGTTGACAACTTCACAGGATTATCACAAGAATTAGAAAAGAATATGCCTGTGAAAGCCTGGAACTATATAGCCTCAGGATCTCAGAGGCAGATCATGTCCCAACTCTCAGTGTCTCATCCCTGACATGAGTTCTGCTGCCACACTAGTCTCTTCTTGGGATGCAAAGACTGTAAAGAAAATTTCACCAGCCTTGGATAATGCATCCAAATTTTGCAAATCTTATTACTGATCTTATCTCCTTTAGAAATTCCTTCAGTTGTGTCACAAGAATGGGTTTCATTTAGATTGTGAAATCTTTGTTCATCACTTTTGGCTAAAGAAGAATTTGTCTCAGCTCAGCAATTAAGAGATTTCCAAGTCTGAAAAAGACTAGAAATGTTGGAACTCTGTCAGAGGAATGGGAGAAGTCAGAGAAATAACTTAGGTCTGGGTACTTCCCTTAATCTCACTTCTTAGGCAAGGTTCCTTTTTAAGTCCCAAAACCTGGGGTGAGAAGGTAAAGAACTTGAGCCATGATGAAATAGGGAGGTCCTCATGCTGGAGCTTTAGTACAGGTTTTCTGAATTAAGTCTTTTTAGAGCCCAAAATGGCTGAAAAAAAATCAATCATTATGAGTTACTGGTTTGTGAGAATGGGAGTTGCCAATGTTATTCAATGAAGAAAGGATAGACTTTTCAGCAAATAATGCTGGAACAATTTGACTATGTAACAAAAGCAAACAGTTACTACCACCACCTCCTTAGCAACAACATCAATAACAAAAACACATTTATGTATTGCTTGCATCATATAAAATAATTAACT